TTTATAAGATGAAATAGTTAAAACAAAAATTTTATTATAACTCCAAAACTTAAAAAAAAAATACTTCAATATTTATATTAATGTGCAATTATAGTTTTTAAATATATATATATATTTTTTTATAAAAAGTAATATTAGTAACGAGCGTTATCGTTGGTTACGACACTTTCACATCCGAATGATAATTGATAATAGCTGGTAATACAGTAAGAGGGCAACGGAAATATATTATATAGTACAATTTTGCATCCAAATGAAATCAATTTTTTGACAAAATTCAGCATATTTACTACTAGCTTTCATCCCGCAGCTTCGCCCTTGTGGATTTCGGTTACATCGCGTTTCCAAGAGAACCTTTCAAAGGTCTGGGATAAAAACTATCCTTTGTTCTTTTTCAAGGTCAACTCTACCTCTGTACCAAATTCCATTAAATTCAGTGGTTTAGGCGTCTGTTATGCTTTCATAACAGACAGACAGACAGATAGAGTTACTTTCGCATTTATAATAAATAAGTAAAAGACTAATGATATTAAAAACTGAATATATCATTTGTTTTGTTAATCTATTTTACTTTAATAGTATATATGATAGATATAGAAAACCTCACAACAATTTTGTATGTACATCGACCGTGAACTGGTTTTCTGATATAGTGTCGATAAGCCCCGTTATAATCATCCTTGCTATGCAGAAGCACGATTCATTTAATGCGTTTAATTCTAAGTATAATTAAATATCATTTTATGATTCTCGGAAAAATATGTATAATATCAAAGAAATAATATTTTTTTCACAATAAAATTAAAAAAATGTTTGAATAAAAATTCGTTTTATATAAAAATAATTGTTTAAAAGATCCTTTCTTCATTTGTAACAAACCTTGAAATTGTGGTCATATATAATGTGTCATTTTATTCGAAATTAGTTTTTATTTTGTTAATAAATACTATGTTTCATCAAAGCATTTGATTTTTTCATGGATCTCGTCGGAACGTAAAATGTATTTCTTGATATAAATATCTAATTCATTTAGTTCTTAATATTTACGTATGTATACTTCTATTTTTTATAATTTACTGTCTGTGAATTTGTTTTATTTTTAATTTCTTGTTTATTCTCATTATATTATTAGTGTTTGTTAGAACACGAAAAATATCAAAACAAATCTAAGAAAAATATCCTTAAGATATACAAAGCTCAAAAGATGACGTCTCTTTACTTATAATTTTAAACAGTTAAAGGAAGCATTCGTTGAAAATTCTTTGGAAAATTGTATATTATATGTTGTTTTTATAATTTTTAATTATTCAATATTTTCTTGGAACCGCAAACATTTTATTAGTTTGGTTTTTTGTTTAGTTGAAATGAAGATGGTTAACGGTTAATACTTCAAAGAAATGAAATATGACTTTGTTTTGGATTTTTTTCTCTTACGTCACTTGTCTTATTGACGCATTCTAAATGAACAGAGAGACAAAACTTCATCAGTTAATGAGAGGTTCAGGAACAAGTTTAACTTTAACTTTAAGGATAACTTTAATTTACAGAGAATCAGATACAAGAAATACTTCTTCGGAACAGTTTTTTTCAGCTTTATTATGTGTTTTCATTACTTTCTAGATTAATATGAATTGGTTTGGGAGCAGTCGTTTTATATCAAGTCAATATATCTGTGAGAGTACAGGAAATAGAGAACATTGATAAGATAAATATTGCGGAAGTGTAAAATTACAAAGTTATAAATAACACAAACTTAAGTAGTATGAAAGATTTTCTTAATGACTTGTGTCTTTTATTTCTAGACACTGAAGCTTATTTAGTAGATATTTAATGGAAGAAATTAAACTACTACGTTCACGTGGTTTTCCGACCATTTTTAGTAATAAATTAAAAATTGTGTGCAGAATAACTGTCCTAGATACCACTGCGTCCTAGTATTAGAAACAGGTTATTTTTATTATACTAATATTAATTTTGAGAAAAAATGTTTACTTTGAATGAGTGAGGTGGAAACATGTTCATAAATTATGTTCTCACAATTATGACAACTAAACAAAACCGGTTTGTCTACCTTGCTATAAATGATAACACAAAATGTTAAATTTAAAGTCATTTTATCACAAAATTATGTTTAGATATTGTTTTAAATACGTTTTTTAAGTTGATACTATATTTATTGCCTTTTAAAAGTAATTGACCAAATTAATATACACATTGAAGATTAAGAAAAATAAATACATACATATTTCGATTATATATAAATTAATGATTGTGTTAAGATTTTGTGCGTCAGCAATTAAGACGTAGACTATTCAAACAGGATAATATTAAAACGCATTGAAATATTTATAAAAAATCTTTAATAACCATAAAACATAGATCTACGATCATGATATAAACACCAGCCACTTATGGTACGAACATCCGATTTGGTATGACGTCAAGAAACCAGTTTGATCAAATCCATTACGACCTGCAGACAATAAAAAGAAGAATTAAAGAACAAGCAAAACAATAAATCATACTTGTAACAAAAAAATAAATAAATAAAAAGGGTATACTTAATAACTTATCTAAGACAACAAGATACTGCGACAACAGAAAATTTTATATTAAATAGCTTTTAAAACTTTTATGAAATGCAATCTATTTTAAATACATACTAACAGAATTTTCATAAATCAATAGTAAAAAGTTTCTAGCGACTCGATATAAATTGAGACTTTTTAATGTATTAGACTTACGAAGAAAGTAACTAACCTTCTTTGTGAAGACCACGGCAAATATAAACACATCACTGAACCACACACAATTTCAGCTTTTGAACTGTGAGGCAAATTTCTGTGCACTATCACTTGAACTTGAGGATGACATGGAAGAGTCACTGCCGCTCCTTTTTGATATATTGCTTTTTTTCCTAAAGCTTAATCTCGATTCGCCTTTAAACAGCTTATCTAAAGTCTGCCTTAAGGCTGAGTGCTTTCTTTCAAAAGGATTGGTATACATTTTAATGCGAGGACGTGTGTTCTGAACGAGAGTTGTTTACGATATGAGCCTTCTCAGATAATTCCGCTCTTAATATAAGACGTAGTGACGCCAGCGCAGGTCAATATGTTATACATCATCGTCATACGTTTTTATTATCTTTAATTTATTTTGGTATTTTAATTCTATACGTACGTCTACAATTTTCTAATTGGCGTCAGGTTAAAGAAGATTGTTACAATGAAATCTACCTATTAAAATAATAAACAAATATTAATGTTTGTTACAGTAAAACAATAATTTTTAATTAATATTAAATAAATTTAGTGGTAATTTTTAAAATATATCCATATTTATTTTACACTTTCTATCCCTTTCGGAAGTTTTTAATTTTTTTTAACAATATATAGGAAAAGAAATGCAAAAGGAGTATGCGATGAAGTCTTATATATATTATATTTGTGAAGAGTGTCCTTAGTCTAAGTCGGCATCGAAACGGTAGACAATGAGCGTCAACGGTTTTTCATTCATAAATCTTTGCATATTATAGTATTCATTTAAGTTGGTGAATTAGAAACTGGAAATATTTAATTGATTGTGTGATGATGTAAGTTTAGAATTAAAATAGGCATACATAAAGTAGAAGTTTCAATTTCTTTAACTTTATTAATATTTGGGTATTCGTAAAGTCTTCAAGGTTCATTATATTACGACAATAGTTCAATAAATTGTCACGTTTGTGTACATTCAGGCTAAGTGGTTGTTGTAGGTTTATGTTCTGTTAATGAAAATTGTTATTATGACATCGTTAACGTCAATGTTTTTTCCATTCATTAATTATCTATCATAATCCGGATTATATTCTAATATAAAAACATTAACTCTTTATTTTTATACAATTTGTTTTATAACTTCAAATACACATTGTTTAAAAAGTAGTTATTTTTATAAATGCACTATTTAATAATGATAATGAAAGTGTTTTATCTCGTTTCACAGACATGACATAATTTTTTTTACTCTCGACTGTTTAATCAACAGTTTATCAGTTTCCGATTCGTCGACGGACGTTAACACATAACATTGTATATAAACGAAAAGTATTTTTTTTATTTAATAATAAACACATAGTTTATTTCAAGTTTTCTTATAATGCTATAAATATGAAGAATTATTAACAATTTCAATTGAAATGTTACAACCATTTATTAAAAACTACATTAACTATAAGAAGTTTGTAATGGTAATAATTTATTAACGTTTATATTCTCATAATCTTACATTATCGAAACCGTGAACTGTCAAAAGCAGCGATCATTTTTATAATCTTATAAAGTACATGTATACCAAAAGTTGTTTTTAAAATCATTGTCCGTTAAAACATTGCTGTAAATGTTATTTTTATAACGTTATTAGGACATTCAAAGATACGTATTGTGTCATCATACTTATAACCATTTTTTAAATATTATATTTATAAAAGTTCAATGGACATTTCGTAAATTTAAAATACTTTAAGTTATACATATTATCTAGAACGAGGAAAACGTTAATATAAATGCTTTGTTTCAATTAATCGTCTACCCGTTCACTGATATATATGGACATACATTTATTAATTAAATATTTGCAATAAGTAAAGTCTAATATTTATATGAGATAAAATATGTCGATGTGGGACGTATAAGTAAATACATATTATAGTTCATTCATTTTAACTCAATTGAATGTCTTATGACTAAAATATTGTATAATTTTTTATAACCAACAACTTTTTTATAACCAACTACTTATTATTTGTGGAAATTTCTGGATAATTATGGAAGTTTTCGCTAACTTCTACGAAAGGGATAGCAAAAAGTACATCAAAAAGTAACGGTTTTGGTTGATTCATTATACCTAACGCTACCTATTTTATTATCAACGTCCATAAGAAAGTGAGGATAAGCCTGTATCTGGATTTATTTTTAGTAATGACAAACAGCCAGCTAATATTTTTATCTCCTTTTTATCAGTATCGCTACTTTGAATCGTGAAGACAAGTATAGCAAAAGTGGCAAGGTGATCCTTAAAGGGGACGCTGGATCGTACGAATTGCGATGGTTAAACTTAAAAAATGAATATAACGTACTCAGTTTTGAAGTGATTTTTGTAGAAATAGCTCCTGAGCTATTTCCTGAAGTATGACATATTTTTACTGGCTAGTCCAAAAGTCTAGTCTTTACTAGGGCTAGCTAGGCCACGTATTCTTCTACCAAAGAAAAGAGCGCGTTAAAAACTTGTGGAATGCTTTACAGTAATGTCTTACCATATCTTAACGTGAACATTTTTCAGAAGGTATAACAACTTCTATGGATTACAATATTGGATTTATTAGTGGATGAGTACATGTTTCTCTTTTTTTTTTTAGTAAGAAATTTACCTACTATTACAAACATCTTACACATGACTAAACTGAACGTGTTTTCGTGTAAAGTAGGTATGTTGTTTACGTTCAGTGAGTCAATTATTTTGTCTTCTAAATCGTGCACGTGCACATTTTTTAATTAATTTCATTCCGGTTTTGTGACTCCCCTACTATTGAACATACGAGTAAGATTGTATTGAATAACACAAAGATTATCAACGATTATAAATTACTAGTTTCTCAATACCTATTATTATTGTTATTATCTTAGACATAACCTGCATACACTCAAACAAATATATTTTATAGAATAGTTAATGACTAAAATAAATAAAAGTAGTAGTCGTTTCAATTAATTATAAAAATCAAAGTAAGGGTAGCAAAATGTGTTTCACTGGTTTAATTTTAAAAAACGTGCAGGCTTTGTACCGTTTCTGTTTATTGTATAATTACTTCATTGATGTGAAAGGTCAACATTCTGAAGATCACGTGTAGAGTTGAATAAGGTTTGATATCAGTACGTACATATACATATAATTTGTACAAATTATTCAAATGCAAATTGCGTCATAAATAAAGAATTATGCATTTATAACAAAGATAGAAGTGTTTGTTCTGATATTATAATATTTATTATGAGGTAAACATAGAATAGTAGAGTATTATTAATATATAATCTGTATTAAACTTGGAAGCTTGGAAGAAATGTGGATATTTAAATAATTTTTTTATCACAATACAGTATGTTAGAAGTTTTTGCACGTATGAACGCTCTACCTATTAACAGAATATTACTATGACAGTAATATACATCTATATATATAAAAGAAAGTCGTGTTAGTTACTCCACTTATAACTCAAGAACGGCTGAACCGATTTAGCTGAAAATTGGCAGGGAGGTAGTTTGGCACCAGGAAATTGCAATAGGATACTTTTTATCCCGCTTGACAGCATTACCGTGGTACTTGACATGAAACGTCAGTCACTATAAAACGTGGAATAACGAAACACAATTGACAGCTATGCAATTGACGTATAATGACAGATATGTAATGACGTAATGATGACAATAAGATATTTGTAAGAGATCTACTATATAAAAATAAGTCCGGTTTTCCATCCTGACGCTATAATTTCAGAACGAACGAACCAATTTCCACAGTTTTGCATTCGTTGTAAAACATGTACTACAAATCAATATTTTAAGTAGATGGTGCCGGTGCATGATACATTGTTTGACAGCTACTCATTGTTCTCTGCTCAGTTAATTTCATGTGACAAACCGGTATTGTGTTTGTAGTTTGAACTCTTAAAACCATTTAGTATTTGCAGGATAAATTTAGAAAATCATTTTTTTTCACATTGGCAGTTATATTTTGCGTGTTCACGAGTTTGGAAACCATCCGCTTTATTTGTGTTAAAGTTAGACCAAAAAACAAAAAATGTGGTTTACAAAGGAGCACTTCAATGAAACGGATAATTTGCGGACACGTATAACGCTTCAATTCGGTATCTACTTTGGATTCACTTTCATTTACTTAGAGAAGTTCAACTAAATAACACTTCATTTTTGTAATCAAAATGAATTCATTACTGTTGTGAAATGAAATAAAAATTTTCCTTTTCAAATATAAAACAAAAAAAAATTCTTCATCTTTTAATCACCAAACGAAATGTTATACAAAAGCCTTCTGGTGGCGAAACGGAGTTCGCCGGGTTTACTAGTATGTTTATAAAACTCTGTTACTTAGCACCCAATTTCTATAACTGCCACACTGTGAAAAATTTTGTTATGTATTTTGAACGGATACCTCAAGGCATACCTGAAAAACAGTGACTTTCTTCTTCTTTCGTCAAAGTTCGAGTTTTCCTCGAAATCAATCTATGTACTGTATCTATATTTTGATACTTGTAACATATTTATGGGGAGAACTTGAGGGAACACCAGTGATTCTACAGCATAATAAGATCTGTGATTTTCGCGAGTCATTTAAATGAAACTTATATTTTACGGATATACTACGTTACTTTATTTTTGATAAAAACTACATACTCTCGACGTTTCGGTTACTTTACAGCAACCATGATCACGAGCAGACGAGATGTGAGTGTCTGTCAGTCGGTCTTGCTATTTTATCACCTACGGCCATCGATTTCTTAATTTTCTGGCGTACCGGTCTGGATGCCGACAAAAGCTCACGGTGTCCCGAGATCCAGCGGTGCGGTCACGGACATGGGATTTTATATTTTTAAGAAGAGGATCCCAGATGTTTGATAGGTTCCAGAAATCTTCTTTATTGAAATTGGGGTGTTTTTTAATTTCAATAGCCTCGCCGATTAACTTTGGTATATACTTGTCTTCACGAGCGAGGATATGTGGTTTATCAAATCTAATGTAATGGCCTAGTTTGTACAACGCATCTTCATACACTGCTGACTTCGACGCGCGCCTATTTTTGAAGTCTGAAATGTGTTTCTTAACCCCTGTACCGTTGCTTCTCCTTGTCTGTCCAATGTATAACAAGGCACAGTCACAATCAAGTTTGTATACATCCGCTTGTTGTAGAGGAATTACATTCTTGATTGGTCTCTAGAATTGGCTCACTTTTTTATGTGGTTTGTAAATAGCGTTGATCGAAACATTCTTCAAGATATTGCCTATTCTGTAACTCCCTTCACATATGGTAGTATCGCAGGTTGTCTCTCAAGTGTGGGTGGCTTCATATGGTTCTTGTGATGCTGGCGAGGTACGGACCGATTGTTGATGGTCAGAACATGTTTTACATGCTGCAGCTTGGCCTCTAGGTGGTCAGCATCTCGAAGTTGTTGTGGTCTCTGTAACAAAGATTTGCAAACGGTAGCTAACTGTATAGGGTGGTGGTGTGAGTTACCATTGAGATACCTATGTGAGTTTCTTATAAACAGTATATTCCAAAGTATTGTCAGGATTCCTGATGGAAAATAAAAAAACCGACACTCACATCTCGTCTGCCCATGATGACGGTTGCTGTAAAGTAACTGAAACGTCGGGACTATGTAGATACTTTAGTAGTTTCACTTGAAAGTTTTCGATTTGAAAAATGGATCACATAAATATAAAAAGTCTTTTGGTATAGTTTCCGAATGGGGTGATGTTCATTTCTTGAATTTGAAGCCAACAAACCGTCATTGTTTTTATTCACCACAAAGAAAAGCTCATTTATCTTGACTCCAACTTTTCAGAATATTCTGCGAATACTCCGAACTCCTTACTTCTTTTCTTGAGTTCATTATTTTGTTATCATCAGTTGACTTCTAAGCTGAGACAACTTCAAGGTAACTCAGCGTTTTTTAAAAATTGCTTTTTTCTCTATATAAAACCGTATCTAGTCGTGTCTAAAACACTGTTGTTACAATTGGCCAACATCTGACAAGTAGGTATCATCTCGCTTCTTTAAATTCAGTTGAGAGACTGCTCAAAACCTCTTAAACACTGGCCTCTCGTTTTCATACAGGACACACTTTGGACAGTAAGTGCAGAAATTGCAAGATTTAAATCCTCGATCCTCTGTTTATCTTCGGACAGTCAAAATACTGAGGACCTCAATTCAACAGCTACGGTTTAATTTCCACCAACCAACAAGTGAAATAACAGTCTAGACTGTGCTCGACTGTGTTAATTTAAAAAAAGTAACCAATGTTAAATGTTGTGCATTACAAAATTATAATATTGTATAATTTTATTCCTAGAATCTGAAAAACGGGATAATAGAGAAGTTCAAGAAGGTTGATTAGAAAATAAAAATGACTTTAATTTCATACACTATTCGCATTCCTGATTAATGCAATATTAAAAGAAAAGTTTTTGTTTTTTTTGTGCATTATTACGTTATTGTTATTTTAAGTGACAATGGCAATAACGGTGCAGTGTGGTTTTCTGGACGACAGAGCTTCAGTCAGTGATTACGTAGTAGATTACGAGTAAGCATTAACAATGGATAATAATCATAACTACGACGAAAAGTTTATCTTTTTTTAAATAAGCATAAAGTTGAATGCTCCCATCAAATATTTTTTTTATTGCAAAGCAATTTAAAACGGCCCTAATCGCTTGTGCCAATCACCCAAATACAAGTTTAATGACGTCAGTTTCATTTTTTGTTTCAGTTTCAATCTGAGAACACTTCTTTGCTTATGCTCGCTTACAATACAATATATATGTACATATGTAGGTGTATAGTGTTATATAATTATATGTGCTTATATATTTCTTCGTTTCTATATAATTTTTCATATAACAAAATTAATACTTCTGATTTTTAATAAACTAAGTATACTGTACACTTAAGGAAGTTTTGTAGCATTTCGAATATAATAAGAAGTCCATGATATATGTACCTTTATAATAACAAGAAGTTGATGATGGTCTATTTTTTTGTTAATGGATTAATAAACCCTTATGATAATTTGCATCCATAATAAAAAAAGATACTTTATTATGCCACTTTACTTTAAATCTCGGTTAGAGGTTATTCGAAAAAAAAATCATTTTCATTTTTGGACATATTTCTTTTAGTGAGACAAAATGCTAAAATATTTCTTATTTCTTAGATTTTTTATAAGTTGCTTATTTCCTTAATAATGTGTAATTTTTTATATCATATAATTATATAAGCAAACAAAAAAGTGATATTATATTATATCAATAAATTTAAGACTATTTAAAATTTCAGTCTATTTAAAAATTTTAGCATGTTGTGATGCAAAAAAGTACAAAACTGCTATATCTTGCCAACCAAATAAATGAATAGGGATACCTTGAACTATAATGGACATTCAATCCGTATTAAACATGCAAAAAAAAAACAAACAAAGCTGTTTTGTTTTAAGCGATAAAGAATTTCAGATGTGATTTTTTTAATTACTTTTGAAATCCAAGAATATTTAAATTTCAAGATATTTTTGTCTTTAAATTCAAGGACTTGTCGTGTCATCTTGAAAAAACGTTTTGAGAATTCAATGCAAGTTTATCTGACGACAGCAGAATTGTATGGTGTTTTATTTTTTTTATTATTCTGTAAATTATATAAAGAAATATGATCTTTATTAGATATGGTTCGTATGGTTTTTGAATACATATCCTAAAAAATTTAATAAAACGATTGCTCTCAGACTGTTTCTTTCTTAAATGTACATTCCTTAAATATTCTAAGTGTACATTTCCTTAATGGCTTTGATATCATGATAAAAGTCATGCTTATACACAAGTGTCAAAATAAAACAATGTCATTTGGAAGGTGGTCTCAAAGTTATAATTAACTAATATTTTATTCAAGACTACTTTTCTTGAGTGAAGAGATTTTTCAAATATATGGGATTATGACAAGGGCAGGAACTGTAAAATTATTATTTGAACCTATATTTTTTGACTTAGTCAATTTCCAAAGCAAAAATGTCTATAGCTCATTGTGTCACAAATTACTTAATTTATTCTTGTACTTATATTTTTGGCCGAAAATAAAAAGTCAGTTTTAAAGACGTCAATGGATACCTTTATGTTGTTAAGTCTGCCGCAAAGGTATTGTAAATAATAATATACACATATTATAAATTTTCTATTTATAACTATTTATGTACGTAAGACATATGACGTTGTTACATTGTAAGACAAATATAAATATTTAAATTTATTAATCGTACTGTTATGATTATAAAATAATAGGATAAAAAATTAATATATTATGTTTTATTCTTAATTAAAAATTTCATGATATACTACAGTTAGATTTTATTATTTATTATTTATACTATTAATAACTTATTTAATTTTAAACAGTTTTCGAGTTTACAAAAGTTAATTTTAGTTCCTATAATTAAATCTCAATGCTTATGAACTCCCTGTTAATAATTTAAAAATTAATATTTATCAATTAATTGTATTTAACCACCTGCATCACTGTCTTTCTAAATTATTTAAGAAAGTTTTTTTTGTATCAACCACTTATCGGTAAAATTTAAGCGGAGCGCAGATGACGTCAACAGTGACATTATTTTAAAACGACTAGATTCCATTTCTTGTCTCGGTTGTGGGAAAACCAGATATCTTATTTTTCTTTTACATTTTTTTTTCAATAAATTAATTATCATCGAGGCCTGGACTCAGAAAAAGTTGTCTGTTATAAACTTTTTTTCGTTAAAAACTCAACTATAACTTTATTACTTCATTTTAATTTCTAAAGCAAAATGGCTTTGTAAAAAAAAAATTCGCTTATAGACAAAATAATTTGATTATTGTTAATCACAAAAATTATAAAACGATTTGACAAACGACTAGAAAGTGACTTTGATTTGAGGTTAGTCTTCGATATTTATAGACAGCAATCCGAACAAAAAATACCACAAATAACCCAAATATTGTAATTATTTATATAAACAAATCTTATGCATGGCTACCAATAAAAATAGTAAAAATCTTACTAAATTAATCCTATAAAAAGGGGATATATAATGCATAAAATTTTGATATATTTTATGTTTAGAAGATACATTTAAATCCAAGTATTTCAACACATTTTATTTTTAAACAAATAAAAAAAGATAAATAATATAAATACAAAAATAATATATAAACAAAAATAATATAAACATATGATAACACTAAGATTCCTTTGATATTATATTAATGAGTATATTAAAATACGAGTATATTTGTTTTGGAATTTGATTAGAAGGAAGGCAAGATCAAGTACACGCCGTTATCTATGTATTACAGAATGATAATATTATTATTTTATAAAACGAATTAAGAGTAAAAATATTTATGTTTATATTCCGAATATAATATTTATTGCGTTTGTATGCGCATCTGTTAAAATACAGTTACTTATTGACCTATAAATTAAGGAAAATGAGCAAGCAAAAAAGGGGAATAACGGAATTTACACATGTCGTTAATTAAACAATGGTTTGGGTAAGGGTAAGAATATAATTTTATGATTATATAATTAATTACGTATTCAGATCTACAAATTTTCACAGATGTAATTATATATGAAAATTAGAAAGTCATTTTCTTTGTGTGTTTAGTTTATGTTCACTTTTTTTTAACCTCATCATTATATTCACTTTAATGACGTAGTCCTATATGATGAGGATGAGTTTTTGATAGGTCATATGTATATATACATATATCTACATTTTAAATCACCAGTACATTATAAATGTAAATAATAATTATTATTATTTACATTTACATAATATAAGCCCTAAACAAAATATGTAAATATGAAAATATTTTTATATGCTATTTAAAATAACAATCATCAAATAAGTTCGTATAGAGTTGTAATGAATTTACTTCTAATAACTAATTCTCAAGTTTGAAATTTTTCATGAACTTGACGAAGTTTGTTTACGTAGCGCAATTAAAATATACATAACAGAGTACGAATTTTTTTATAAAGAAGATATTCAAAATACCTTAAATTAGAAAGACATTAATTATTTGGCATTTTTTTAATTATATTTTTTCGTATTTGTTTAAGTAACAATTAGTAATTAATAAAATTAAACAAAGTATTTGATAATTAAAGTGATAACGATGGTAAAAATAAATAATTATATCGTTTATGAATGCGATAGTTGAATGTGGAAGTAAGAATGGTAAAATGGGAAGTACCTTCTCTCATTTGGAAGATACAAATAGAAACGTAAGAGATGAAAACTCGTTATTATTTAAATGAGTGCAATGTTGTTGTTAGTAGTCAATACATATTATTTAAAAAATAATTTAGTTTTCACTTTTTATAAAATGCTGCTTTTGTGGGTTTTCGCAGCAACACTTTCTTTAGCTGGTAAGTTAAAACTTTTCTTCTTATTTTATTAATTTTTAGCTCTTAACGCATAAATTCCTTACTTCTACGAGTATAGAGACTTTCATAACAGAATATGATGTTATAATTTAATATTCAGATTTGAAAATATTTCAACGATAAACTGCCGATTGAGATAAAAAATATTTTTATTTTTATGAAATCAGTGAATAGATGTTTCAAAGTAATTAAAAACTATGAAAAACTTTATGATAGTTTCTAGTTAATTAAATTTCTATATTATATCAGCTAATTAATAAAATATTTTATAAATTTCTTTCTTCGTATTTTGTGATATTAACAAAACTCTTTCACTAATTGTCAAACTTCATAATTTTCTTAAAGTACATTGCAATCATAAAAGTTTAAGAGTTACCAAATTTAATCGCATACTGCATAATTAGTAAGACTATATTATAAGTTTATGTATCAAAATAAAATATTGTATACACTACTTGCAGCTTATGTTAATTAGATATGATCACCATATTGAAAATCCTTGACATATTATATAGCCCTGATTTTGTGTGGTGATATAACCAACAATATTACATGCGTATCATAAAATATCTATAAGTTTTTTTTGTTTGATTATTTTTTTACTCAAATCGTATTATTTTGTTTCAATATTGACATTCAAAAATGTATTGTAATTTTTTTAAATCTTTTTAGTTTACATACGTAAAGTATTTTTTTTTTGTTATTTCAGCTTCGGATTGTAATGTCGTACCCATAGAAGTATGGAGTGGTTCAAATTCAAACCGAGACGAGAAACTGCCAAAACCAGTAAATCTAGTAATAATCCAACACACTGTTACCTCCCAATGCTTTACCGATACAGATTGTCAGAAAAAAGTTAATGATATACGATACGATCATTTAAAGAATAGGGGTTTCACAGATATTGGAATGTCGTGAGTATATGTATTTAATTTGTTAAAATTAACCTTTATTAAGTAATCAAATATTTTTTAATGAAAAAAAAATCTTTAACTGTTCAATAAATCGATAAATATATAGTATTGTAAAATTATCAATGAATATTTAAAAAATAATAATTAAAATTAGAATAAAATATTTAATTCTACTGAATATAAAGGATGAATAAGCATTAAGCAGAGATCTAGTTTTATGATAAAGAAAAAAGTAAATAAATATAATTTTTTACAACTATTATTTTATACATTCACGCAGATTTTTGGTTGGAGGGAACGGTAAAATATATGAGGGTGCAGGATGGCACGTTGGTTCTCACACTCGGGGTTACAATAACAGATCTATTTCTTTATCTTTCATTGGGGACTTCAGAAGTAAGTTCATTAATTCATTTTCATACTATTTAAGTTTTATTTTTGTAGCAAATATAATCATAAGTAAAAAATACATTTAAGATCGTAATTAAACTAACTTTTTTGTTTCAGCAAAATTACCAAACAATGAAGCACTGCAAGCGGCAGGTGATTTTATAAATTGTGCATATTATAAAAATTATTTAAGCATGGACTATAGTTTAGTGGGACATCAGCAACTTATAGCAACTTTAAGTCCTGGAGAAAAACTGCAGAGTCTGATAAAGACTTGGCCTCACTGGAAAGAAGATGTTAGTCAGCTTTAAAATCGACAATCCACTTTTTGGCTCCGATTACGATAGATTACTCCTTTTTATTGAAGAAATTTATTGACAACATACCAAATAATTTTTAATATTATAAAAAGCAATGCTATTAAGCCAAAGATAACGTATACTATATACAATTAGATAAATTACAATTTATTTTAAAAAGACATTTGTTTTTTCTTGTGAACAAATTAAATGTCAGTTGCATAATTCTAAATCTATTTATATAATGTATTTTTAAAATATGTAATTGTTACTTAAAATTCAACATCAGGGTATTTAACATATTTTTGAAATATAAATTGAAACACATAGTAATATAAATCAAATATAATCTTTGGCGAATCATTAGATTTATTGAAATCCATATGCTGTGGAAATACAATAAAACAAAAAAAATCGTCTTCATACGAATGCAGATTTAAGCGGATCCACTTCCACGCCCACATGTTCTGACCATTGAAAACTATGGTCAGTAAAATAACGAACATAACGTAATAATTAACCTAACATACACCATAGATTAATTAAAGTTTTGAGAAATATAGGAAATTCTACTTTAAATATATGTACTGTCTCCTTGTAAAGTATGAACTTGTAAAATAATATTGTATCGTTCCAGATTTTTCCAGAAACATTCGAATCCAGCTGTTATTTACAAATTTTTCGTTATATTATTATCTATTGGAATTTTAAATAATTGTTCAATATTGCTTCAATAGTAAAAACAATAATTATACGAATTCCAACACTTTTTGGATGCTACCAAAGAAACAGCCATGACATTTTGAGTATGGTAGCGTTATTTTTAGCATTTCAATATTCCTTTTTTATATTAAAAGTAAAAAACTTGAAAGAATAGAATTAATAAAATTTATGTTTAACTACTAATAATGGAATATTATTATTATTTTATCATAAATTTATTTCTCTTATTTGATGGTTTACCAAAATGGAAGCCGGAAGGTGGTGTCAAACCTGTCTTTTGTCATTCAATTTCAGCCAATCGTGTTCTGATTCTGTATAATTGGATCTTGAATTTCTGATCCAAAACAAATTGTTATGGTACTGTAATAATATTATCTACCAGTCAGACGAATTAGCGAATTCGTTCAGAAATTATGCAGACAGTATAAGATTCCACTTTATTCCTATACAACATTTGACTTATTTGTCTGATATATAAAAGTGGTATAGTAATCATACTTCATGAGACTATAGTTAGTGTTGTACTTAAGCAGACCAACGTTGACTTTGTGGTTATAAATTTTACCAATAGGTTGTGCAAATTTTTATAACGCATTTGTAAATTCATGCTTTGATTATAATTGTCTAATGATCTTTACTAAAGTGGTAGCATTTCCTCTTTACTAGCTATATAAAGTGAGATATTTTAACTGGTTGAGATGCCCATAGTCTAACGTTACGGAAGTTTCTAGGGCAGAACTTTATTAATGACAAATAGTAGTATTCATTCATATTTTCGGACACTGGTATTGGACCCTTAAAAGAAGCCAACAGAGAATTTTCAGAAATACGTTGTCATGCTTGCTCTTCTAAGACACCCGAACAGAAGCTTACCTTCAACAGTAGAATTTAAAAAGATGCTTGGTGTCTGCGTGTTGACTAAACTTAACTGAGTAGGTCGCAGTTATACAGAATTTTGGGATTGTCTGTCGGCCACCAACCACAAGTAAGTGGTGAAGCCAATTACTCACATGGGTCTTACCTCTAATTTGTAAATCGATATTTCTGTTATGTACAGTAAAAACATGAGCTTGTACAAATCTCCTATAAAATCACAATCAATACTTTAACATTTCACACGAAGTATTAAAACAGTTTGAAGCCGATTTAAGTTAATTTTTGAAAAAGCAAGTAATCGGCATATCGAGTGGTTAATTAAAGGTTATCTTTGTGTGTAAAATTGATAAACTGGTGTCACTGAAATAAACAAATAATTGATTATTTCTTAGTTTTCAACATTTGATTAAAACGTTAAAGAAATAGGACGAGGTCGTAGGTTTTCATTGATCTTTATTCTAATTAGTTGATTTGTTTCGTTAGAACGGACAAAAATACCTACAAATAATTTAAAAAAATCCTAAGAAAGAAGTGTTTTTTAGTTGTTAGATTACTCATTTATTTAAAAAATGACTAAAAACATTATTATTTTATATTTATCATAATGCACTATTGCGTTACTGTAAAATATTTAATTAGTATCACAGAGTGGACACATGAATTAAAGTCAAAGGAATATTAATAATAATTTGTTTAATGTCATTACATTTTTTATGTATTCATTACTAGTTTTGACAAAGAGATTTGCTTTGGTTTTCGAAGTTTGAGATTTATGTGGTTAAATGCTACTTTTTATATGAATGAGCTATTTAAACAATATAATTATCAATAAAAAAATCTTACTGAAATAAATAAATTGAGTTAAAAGAAGATAAAGTCATTTAAACTTCTAAAACAATTATAATATAATATTTGTTTAAATAAATAAATAATAGATCTTTTATTTGTTTTTTCTAAAAGAAATACTCTTTCACATGGTAAATTTTATTTCGCTACAACTTTGTAAAACATGCTTCAAACTTTATATTTTTATTATGTTCTTAACAAAGAAATTAATAATGATGCCAGTAAATTTTCCCAAGCATTTTGATTCAATTAAAACTATCTAAAACCTAATAATAAAAAAGTAAACTGGCTTGTAAGGAAAGTCAATGTTATATAGTATATTTCTTATATTACTCAAATCTATTTTTATAGTGGAAATAATTCTTATATGGGGCAAAAAAATTGTCTCAAAATGTCTCATACTTTTTTTTAACTACGAGTCAAATATTAATATTTTGTTATTCTTAAGGATTATAAGTACCTACAATGTTCGATGAGAAACCACTTTAGAGTATTTAGTAGAAACCGTTTGGGATATATAAAATAAAATACAATTTAATACATATTTAGTAGTTATTAAGTTTTCATAGAAGTAATCTTCAAAGAGTTTATTAGATTCTCTCAAGAAATTCACATACTTTAATTTGAAGTTTGAAGCATTAAGATTCTTAGAAATCGTTTTTATTTTGATAGTTATCTTTAAAAATAAGACCCTAATATTTATTTTATGCAATATTTCTACTGTAAAAATTGGATGTTTGTTTTAAATACCGTTATATTATTTGTTTCAAGGTTTATTTTTTGGTGTAACAATCGAAATATTTTAGAAGTGATAATAAGTAACATGGAAAGAATTATTTTTTTCAAGATTTCAAACTTAGATATTTTTTAATTCAGAGGATATACAAATCCACACATCAGCTAGCAGCCGTGATCACACTCAAATAGTGGGATACAACAAGTATGTAATTATACTAATAATAATAATAATAATTAGTTTTCCTATGATGAAGGCAGACACCAAAATAACGAGAATTGTCATTGCCAAACTTTGACAAAGGCCTTCTCGAAGAAGTGAAATGATCACATGATCTAAAATTACAGCACTTTTTAAATATTCTAGGAAGAGTCTTAAGGCCATTTTTGTGAATTTTTGAAATGTATAGCCGAACTACATATATGCTATGCTGCATTTTCAAGAGACACCTACAAAGGTAAAATTTTTTGAAGGGATAATATGTATTTATATTTCATTTATAGTATTTAAACATCACTGATTCCCAAAAAGGATTAATGTCAGGCAGGCGGCCGGTTGTAAAAACAAATAACCAAAAGTTATTCACAACATGTAAGGCAGACCCTGGCTTAGCTGGGAAATTGTCAGGTAGACGAAGAAGAAGAATATTAATATGTCATATAATGGGTACATTTGTGTTCATCTAAGAGTAAAAAAATTGTTTTTTTTTTATTAAAAATTAGGCACGTAAGATCTTTTTTTTCTAGGCTGTATGAAAGCTAAACTTTCCATACAGCCCAGAAGGAATGAATATAAAAACGTGTTCAGTTGATTTAAAATACTGGGTGCACAATAGAACTTGCATATTAAAAAAAAAGTAAATACACAAGGTATAGATAATACGGCATTGTAATGTTATAATCGAAGTTTTTTTTTTTAATTACATCATTTAAATGATGACCTTATCGTCGACGGCACTCTTCTAACAGCAAAAGGAAATTACCTATTGTAAACTTTTTTCAATAATGTTTCTGTCATTGTTACCATTTTGCCACGAATATTCTCATGAGCTGATCAATTTTCTTTAGATTATTGCTATAAACTTAATGTTTGGAGGCATCCCCATAATAAAAAGTCAAGACGTGTTAAGATTGGACTATGTGAGGGCCATAGGATAAAACTTCTTCTCGAAATCAGTTCGTCAGCGAACATTTGTTTCACAACCGCCATGAAGTCATTTGAAATATGAAAATCAATTTCTTGAATTCATTATTCTTGAATTTTCAAGTTTTGGAGTCAAAACACCCTCCAACATCTTAACATGGTAACATATCTCTCAATATTGTCTTCAGTCCTAGATGTGCTTGGACGACCATTTGATTCTGGTTTAAACATTGAACCGATTTCTACGAAACGCTTCAGCCATATTTTAATCAAATTAGCACTCGAAGCATCACGAATTCGCCGTAGTCTATATATTGGACAATATCGACTATATTAACGATGTATGAAAGAGAGTACACGTAAATAATAATTTTACCATAACTCCATGTTTGATTATGCTTAATTTAAAAAATTACTAAACTTTATTTAAGTCCAAGTTTATATCTCAAAACCTCTGCTCTTTACTCACAATACTCACAACGTTAAAAAACCTTTTACAAAATTATGAACATAGGGATCTAAATGTAAAAGCTTTTTTCATTCACCCATTTTGATTTTTTTCAGAATATCTTGCTAGTTGTGACACGGTGAGCGACATAGACATTAAAGAATTTTATGGAAAACTATGTAGGATTTTGAACCAAAGTATGCTAGGTGACTGTTGTTGATCTATTGTAAGAGATACAAATTACACAAAGAGCAGAAATGCAATTTTTTTACGGTCTATTATTTTTCGAATATGCGTTGTCTATCGTATATAAATGAATTCGATTTTTTTTATTAGTAACATTTATGTACATACGTTTCCACTCATTTTCTTTTGTAGGGTAGATACTATGATTTTGAACATTGTGATTCAAAGTTAGATCAAGATTAATTCGTATTTAATGAAACTCTGTTATTTCGCTTTAAATTGGCATTCTTGTGGTAGTCTTCAAAATAATTCAAGTAAATTGATTTAATAAAATGAAATACACAGTGCCGATTACATTAAGTATTTATTACATAACGCTACCTGACCCCTCATTTTATTTTACTGACATGACCTTACGGTACAGAGAGAGCATTGAACTTCAAAATGTTTTGCCGCATATTTGTTTGTGACTGTTGTTATAACTTATCACTGTTTCACCAAATTTCGATTCCATAACATAGCTAAAATTAAATAAGCACTATTTAAATAATGCAACAATTACATTGTACGGTATGGTACTTTTTGAATTATAGTTTTAAAGTTATGTGTAAATTATTGTTTTATTATTACTGTTTTGGTACCTGTTCCTAGTAGCGCAATTAATAATAATTATTTATATGGCAAAAAATATATAACTATGTATCATTACTGCAATTATCTTCTTACTATTGAAGCAATGTTGACTTAATTACTTAAATTAAAATTCTATAGTTAATGTTTAGTATACTTCAACACGAATAGATTTCTTTCTGTGACTTCTTGAATACCTAATTTGGTAACTTTATCCATTGAGCTATGTATGTATTACGTCGATTATTTTTTTCATTTTATACTATCCTTTCGTATATTAAGCCAAGTATCTATTATGAGTTAAATGTATTATTTTGTTATATGATTCCTATTAATACCCAAGAATATATCTGTCGATGTGCATAAAAACTTCTTTTTTTGTGCGAAAAAATTCTTAGATCAAAGGTTTGGTTCAGACTGTTTTAGTCTATTGTATGTTAATAAAGGTATTTATGTTTTGATATTTATATTTATTACGAAAGTGACAGAACTTATGACAATAATGTAAAAATATTCAATTTTTTTGAAATGGTGAGCCATTGAAGGCCATGCTAGTAAATGCAAAATTTATAAAAGGATGAAAAGATAATATTATATTATTGGTATTATAGACATACTTTTTTTAAATAACTATATTTTTTCCTTTTCTTCATATGTAGTAATTCGATGACCGTGACTAGGTTACGTTGGCTACGTATTTACCTAACTATTATTTTACATGCCTGACACATAACGGCAGCATTGACGAATATCGTTTTTGTGAACAGATCTAAATATCTTAAAACTGTATGATCTTGGGTATTTTTAAGACTACTAATAATACGTCAGGCTAAACTAGAAAAAAATCATACAGCTTCTTCTCATGCTGCCTGAATCTTTTGTTCACCCTATCTTTTCGCACGTCAAGGCAATACTCTGCCAGCAGGTTCATTATGTTATATTCTATTTCTTGAAAATCGGCCCAAATGATTCAATATCGCATCTTTCTAAGGTCATGTTTTGGTGGCTGTTCAATCGAGGACGGCTAAAATTTTTTCAAGACCTTTCTTTTGGCACCACTACTATTTAATAGACATGCTGTTGTTATTTTTAACTCTATTGTATTTTCTGTTAAACGCCTGCACAAATTAAAATTATTTACATACATAAATTAAAAAATAGCTAAAAATTAATTTACTAAATATTTAGGATAATTAAAATCCCTGTATGACAGTATTTATCTCTTTGTTATTTTTGACCCTATTTACAATATCATAACTGTCCCAAATCGTATAAATGTGTGTTCTCGTGCAGAGGTTCATATGATGAAAGAGTAATAACTGCCAATGATAAATTAAAAGGTTCCAACAAGATTAAAAACTGACACAATGAAAAATAAACTTAAAATACAAAGGCATAAAGTTCACATAAAAATATTTTAAAGCAGACCGAGGTTAAGGGCCAATACACTCAATGATATAAGATATTATTAATTTTATTTCATTAATGGCTTAAAGGTTCTTTTATTAAATCAAATAAACAAATTCTCCATCATAAAAATTAAGTAACTAACAATTATTAATATTTTAACTTAAACATTTTCTTTATTTTGTACTCCGGAGATAAAAAACATATTTAATTTAACGTATATATCTTCCAATAACATATTATTAAATAACGAAGACGATTTTTCAAAGAAATCTAGTCTCTTTTAACACTTATTTAGTGGTAGGTTGTATTTAGAATTCCTGGAAATCGCGAACTTGAAATCTCCATGTATGTAAGTTTCCTAATAAAGTCACGTTTTAAAGCACGCTACATTTTTTTATCGTTTCGATAGCGGATGCTCTTTTAAACTGTCTATACTAAAAAATATTTTTTTTATATAATTACCGCAATATTGATTAATCCCATTATTTTTATTACATTCTGCTAGTAGAAATAGATTATTTTACCTACATAAGACAAAATCGAGAAAACAATACAATCTTATGTAATTATTCATTACATAGCAACTAAGAACTTCAATAGTAATTGCTATTGAAGTTAATAATTGTTATTTATTGCTTGCTCTTATTTATAAAATTATAGTTAATATCAATCATTATACATTGTAGATTTTATAACCAATAGTCGACAATAATGAAACAATTAATTATGACGTTTAAGAATAACTGAGTTCATTTTATTATACCATTAATGGTAACTCTAAATCTCAATAGCATGTGGAAGTTGCACATTATAGTACAGTTATGGTATATGTAGCAGATCTGGTTTCAATTAAATAGACTTTTTGTATATGCAAGCGTCAAGTCTGTCTATGTAGCGTATTTTTACCGTAAACAGATTGGCAGTTTGCGAGACGCAAGTCACGTCTACTCATCTCTCTAGTTTTAAAATCCTTGGTGAATTTTTTACTAAATAGGTATTTTAATTCGAATATTATACAGTAACATTTTACGTTTAAAAAATTATAGATACTATAGCAAATTAATACTTAAACAAAGCATGTCAAGATATTAATTTGTTTTTAAACATCCGAATAAAAAGGAATTTTGTAAGTTTGACGCAGACATCTTTCATTTGTATGTGTCTGTTTGTCACATCTTAGCTCTTAAACATATTGAGAAACTTTGAAGTTTCCTTTTCGTGGTTGTTATTTATTTGGTTAAAGTAATTTAAACCGAATGCAGGCATAAATTTTATTAATTTGTTTTATGTATCTTATCGTCGTCTTGAGGAAAAACAATCTTTACTATTTGCTGACAAAATAGAAGAGAGCCTTTTAAACGTAGACGTCAAGTACTCGTTAATTTTTAATTGGTCCTGTATTAAAGCGTAGACAATTTAAAAGTAAAGTATTATTTTTTTTGGCATTCATGCAAATTTACATTAATGAAATACACATTTAGAAATTTACAGAATAAAAACAATAATTTTATTTTTTTTCATTTTTGAAACAAAGAAAAACCAAAGGTGTTATCTATATCTCGTAACTGTGTAGTTGATCATGAAGAACAGAAGCTATACTAGTGCCAAATTCGAAGGAGAAGTGAGTAGTGTGCACCTGTTGCTTAATATACGCAAGGTGTATGAGTGAGTACACACCAGACACTTCTTAATATTCATATGTGATATCATACCAGTTTTGATGTGTTATATGTTATTATGGCGATGTCAATTTTGTGAAATTTAACGCCACCAAATCCATACGTGGAATCAACTGTCACAACTGGGTAGGTACTAGAGCATATGCTAAAAGTGGCTTCCTCTAGGTATTTTTCAGGATTCACTCTTGAGAGGGTGCACAGGTATTACATGATTTAATCGTATTACATAATTTGATCGGAGAAAGCTATTCAATAGCTATTTTATAATAGACATATTGTTAGGACTAGTAAATATAGTGTAAATTTTAAACCTTAAATTATTATTAGGTTTTGACATGGTATTCTACTTCTATTTTAATGTTTTTGATTAAATTTTGTTATAACTTTTCAATCGAACAAGTTATTTATCACAAACAAAAATATGCTGTTGTTTTCCGTAAGGCGTCAATTGATAAACATTTTTTGTATCGTAATTAGAGCCTTGTTAACATATGTATAAGTGTCACACATTTGCCTGCAATTCTCATTTATATTCTTTATAATTTGATTCGATAAATTGAATGCATAGTTGGTATTTTTATTTAACATATATATTAGACATACTATCAGCAAAAGGAAGAAGTCAAGAACGTTGGATAAATAAAGCCGGGTACTCAGCGAGATAGTGATACTCGATCAATGTTATTTTTTTTTCTGGACCGAAAAACCCTTTCAATTTGAACACTTCCTTGTTAATGTAAAATATCTCTTTGGAAATATCTTGCCAGACAAAATAGTATTACAGATCTTAACGTTCAGTCTCAAAACAGGCGAATTCTCAAAACAGGCTAACAACAAATATAAGAAAGAAAATCTTAATTAATAGATAGTTTATAGACAGTACCTAGTATATTAACTAAAATCTTTGGGAACGTGTTTGTCTAAGAAGTTTTTAGTCGCCGTATAAATCAATGAAATGTGTTATAAGAACTTATCAACCATTCCAACGTATAAGCTCTTAGGACTGTAAACGGTATCTCAATATTAGTTACATAAAAAGGAGTCAAGCTAAGCTCAAAAGTGCCTTAATCATAGTGATGGCTGACAAAACTAGTGTTTTAAAATGAGTGCTTTGCCGGATGTCTTAGATAGTGCATTACAAAAAAGTAAAGCAGTACGTCTCGGGGAATACCTATTACAACGCAATAACTAGCACATAAAATTATAATTATTCGAATTCTTTGCCGATGACCACCGAGGCAATTCCAAAACAGGTCTCTTATTGATATGTATGTATATATATATATATATTAATAAAATATATTCTGGACTATCATAGTCAACAACAATAAACTCTTTTAAGTAAAATAAATAAGTATAATCTGTTTCTATCGCTCATAACAATCTATTCATAGTGATCATAACAAAGAGTTTTGAGAAGTGTTGTTTTTACATATACATCGACTTGTAAACTACATATTTCATATTTACTTTTAAAGACAACCATGTATGTATTTTCCTTACATTTAATTATCAATGTGGATGGGTCAGCCAATGTCTCAATAGACAGCATTTAAATTATCTCTATAATTTAGTTTCAATTCCCAAAACAACAGAAAATACTACTGATAATATGTAATATAACAAGAATTCTTGATTTCGGTTATTCCCCTTTTTGATAATTTAGCGTACTTAAATTGATACAGTGATAGCGATAAGATGGGAATTAAAATTAATCACTTTAATCACTTAAATAAATTAAAGCAAAATTTTACAATTTACACAAAAAATATTTTTTTTTTTACTAATAACCGGTTTGGTTCGCTCGGCATGCTTTCCAATGTATTTATGCATTATACTAACATTTCTAAAGTACACAATATATAATACTAACAAGTATGCTTATACTTAACCTCTATGTATTCATTAAACTACGTATTAGTAGTTAATAATTAAATTAGGCGGAACCTCACAATAAAAATGGACGTACATTATAAAACATAAGGCTACTTTTTCCTTAACGCACATATAAAGAAGACAGAACACGGATTTACTGAGTCCAGTCGATAACAGAGGTTAATAACATTCAAGATCAGTCAAGTGCAGTGTCTTGAGCAATATGTGTTGTGACAAAATGTTTTTGAATAGTTTCCTAATATGGACGCTTACATGGGTTTTAGTTAGTGGTGGTATGTATTTTATTATTTTATTGTTCATGCCTATAAAGATGTATAGTTGAGATGTTTTAACATATAAACAATTATTTTGTGGTTATTATTCAGATATTTTTTTAACTTAAATATAGACATACGTATTTGTCTTATCTGCGCTTGAGCTAAATAAAATAAAAAATAACAGAGCTTAAGTTATATGGCTTAGATTGACTGTGATTTGATGTTAAATAGTAAATAATAAATGGTTTTAAATGTTCTCTGAAGGTGTACTTGCTAATTATTTAAATAAAAATGTCCTTGGCGTTATATTATGAATGTCAAAGGATGGAAACTTTTTGCATAAATTGTATAGATTAGAATCAAAAATAAAGTAAAATGTAGAAAAAACGGAATAAATTTACATAAGTATGAATATTTTAGGCTGCTTGGTAACAAAGGAAGAATGGGATGGATTGCCTCCGTTGCACGTTGACTATCTTCCCAGGCCAGTGGACTTAGTTATTATACAGCATACAGTGACACCTACTTGTAGCACATTCGAGTCATGCAAAAATATTGTTCAGAGTATACAGAATACCCATATGGAAGACCTTAACTTTTGGGATATTGGAATGTCGTAAGTACTAAATGTTTTATATAAACGTGGTTCCATAAAACAAAATCATTCCTCATTTAACTATTCCTAAAGTGAGAGAGAGATATGAATTCTTATTCCACTTCAAACCTTTTAAATAATAAGTCAGGTAACTCAAAAAAATGAATGTTATAAATATTTTTACAAATAACCAATTTTATTATTTATGTAAATATAATTTAAATTCTATGTAAAAAATATATGGGTTTTTAAAGGACTGTAAGGTAGCAAATTTATTTGGCTTATTTTAAAGATAATTCAATAAGCACTTAAAGAAAGAAAAGCCCTTATAAATTTGTACTCATAAAATTACTTCAGTTTTAAATTCTTAAATGTAAAACAAAGAACTTCTTACGGATTACCAGAACTGTATTATATGTATTTACAGGTTTCTGGTTGGCGGTGATGGCAAAGCTTACGAAGGTTCTGGTTGGCTACACGTTGGTGCTCATACATACGGATATAATAAGAGATCCATAGGCATATCATTTATAGGAAACTTCAATAGTGAGTTTTAGCTTTGGTTGTCCTGATGTAGATACACATAGATATTTAGTACATAATATAAAATAATCACTGATAAAATTTTGAAACGCTGTTAGATTAAAGAAGAATAAAGTCATTCGTTTATTTAGCCTTGATGTCATGAGACTGTCAGAGTCCACTGCTGAGCAAAGGCCTCTTTCTCACATGGAGAAGGTTTAAGCATTAATCACCACACTTGCTCAAGATGGGTTGGTGATTTCAAACTTATAATTGTGAAATTATAAGTTCAGGTTTCCTCACGATGTTTTCCTTCACTGCATGTCAGTGATGTCTCAATACTCTTAAAAAGTACATATAACTCCAAAAAATCATATTGGTACTTGCCAGGATCGAACCCGTACCCTTTTAACCACTAGGCTACTATTGACATCTATTTAGCCTTGATATAAATACCATATTTTAAAGTTTATATCATAGACAAATTTCATGAAAAAGGAATCTGGAGACATAGCAAAACAGATTAAAAAACGGTGCCAACAGCACAAAGTCAATAGCGGCCTGAGGACATTCAGAATCCGATCGGATGCAATTTTTAAAATGCCCTTTAGTTATCCTGACATACCTTAGCCGTATATATTGGCATTTTGTTGAAATTTATTTCTTTCATAAGACTTATAATTTGTTACACAGAAGAATTAACAAATTGAAAGTAAGCTGGCTTGGTTTGGAAACGTCATAACCCTCCCCAGATTGAGTTTCGATTTTCTGGTTGATGTCATATATACATATGTATAGTGAATCTAATAGGCGTAGTTTTTGCGTCTTGGTGTACATGTCGTTTAGGTTTCTGATACTATAATTATAATTAATAACACATTATACAGAGAAAAGTTATAATATTCATCCTCGCAACAAAACAGTTTAATGTGCTTTTTTTATATTATCGTTTACATGATAATTAGTGTTTCTTTAATAAATAACAGGATCTTAAATATATGACAACGTCAGACTGATTTAAACTGATATTAAAAAATACATAGAAATAGTTGTTGATTTTACTTTTTTTATAGATGATGAACCAACGCCACAGGCGATAGCAGCGGCTCAAAATCTTTTAAAATGTGGTGTGGAAGAAGGACATTTATCTCCAGACTATCACCTAGTAGGACATAGACAACTCATTGCCACTCAAAGCCCCGGACGGAAATTGTATAGAGAAATAAGAACCTGGCCCCATTACTTGGAAGATGTGTCATCCATTAAAAATTAAGATATATCTGAGACAAAAGATTTTTTTTATTTTAAGCAAAAAATCACATTTTAATTATTTCATTCTTATTTCATGCAGAGTGACCATCCAAAGTTGGTTTTACGTTATCTTATTCACGAGTGGGATGAGCGAAATTTAATAAAGTGAATAATGCATTTTCATTTGATATGAAAATATTAAATTCACGTTCAAAATTTAGAATATGAGAGTAAAATATTTTATGGGTTCAAAACAACTCTTATACTACTACTAATAGTACTGAATGGCAATTTGGTTTTTCGTCTTGCATAAAATTTTCAAATAATCATTCGAACGTAAATAAATTTTCATGTCTCTAATATTATATATATTTTTTTTTATAATTTCCTCGAACCACGTAAACGTCATAAATACTTTTGAAATATCATTCTCATTTTGTCTGTAAATATTTATTAATAATTATTAAGGATTTACCTCTTTTGTCTTCCCTTTAGGTTTAAATATAAAACAAAGCATAAAAATACAATAAAATAACGTTTGAAATGTTAAAACGTCGCGTTTTATGAATGCCATTAACAATGAACAATACTTCGTATATTTTATCCTTATATATTTTTTATATACATAAGTGTTAAATGTTTTTTAAACCATGGACAGCATTTCCTTTTCACTTTTCTATGTTAAAATTTCAACTATACAGAGGATTTAGTGCTGACTTTGCAAAATTTGAAACTTGTTACAACTTCCTGTGTTCGTCGGTTTTGACAGAAACGCAACTGAATTGTTTTCACAGCGAAACGTTAGTTCAAGGTTTTTTAGCTATATGTAGATTATATGTCCACTTCATACGTATAATATGTATAAAATAATAAAAAAGAGTAATTAAATAAAAGATATTTATTCGAATTTATAGCAATCAAATCATTTTATATTAAAAAAAATCAATTCAAGCTTATTCTTTACCGCAAATTAGTCTTCATGTTATGTTAGCGCTAATGTTAGAATATTTTTGTCTTCTTTATCATATACAATATTTAAGTCAATAATAATCAATTCGAAATTCTCGAGCAACTCATGTATGAAATGGGATTTTTAGAAAATTTTATTTGTTATAAGATAACAATTTTAAACAGTTATTAATATTAATAAGATAGATTAACAAACATTGAGTCTCAAGAAAGTAACCAATTATTATAAGAAGTCTTAAATTTACTGTAGGGAAATACGAAATGTACATAGTTTTTCAGTTTTTTTTTTCATTTTCAATTTAAAAAATTGATTTACGATTCATTTTCTTGCAATTGAAGTCTCACTTCGTAGTGAGACCTGTACCAGATCCACCATCCGAGTGCGTGACGAGTCAAGGCTGAGACTATCCAGCAGTAATAACACACCTGGTAGAAAAGAAACGTGATTAAAAAACAAAATATTCATTAGAAGTTTAGTAGAATAGTGGAACAAGTCGTTTATTTAAAAACTCAATCAGTTTTCGAAAATTATGTTCATATTTGTGATTATATATTCATATTTATTATGTTTTAAAATTGTATAAAAAACATGTTGTACTATGATTTTTCTTATTTCCATGGGAAAAGTGATGGAAGGAAATGAATATGGAAAATATTGAAAATGTTAGAAAAACAAATTAATCTCTTTACAGATTTGAGCTCAATCATGTGAGGTTTTTTGGACACCCCATAAGCTGCCCCGAAAAGCTTTTAAAGAATTATGTTTTTATAAATATAATATTAAATCGGAGATTATCGCAATCTGCAAGTATCACGTCGGACAGACCTTGTGATCATATCCAGGGAAACCTGGCCGTCACTTCAAACACGGTAAATTTTACATTAGCTCGAAAATCCTCGGGTTTCGTAGTGTGTTTATAATCACGCAACACGGAAACCTCAAACTCAATTTGTTTGTACAAAATGAAGTTAAAAAAATCAAAGTAAAGAAAATATAGTTAAAATTTTCTTTACATTTCTTTCCTCCGCGTCTTTTATTGGAAATAAGATCGAGTTATCCGGGAAATATAAAACTGGCTAGACATAACAAGCCGTCGTTATGATACTGGATAGTCAAAGGAGTGAGTTGTTAATATGATTTAGTACTGGTCTTACAGACTTCACTATATATAATCTGCGCTTCTAGAGTAAACATTTTGGTAATTAACTTGTACAAGTAAGACGCTTTGAGTTAAAGTTCTGTAAAGCACAGCGGCTGATTCGATACTGTTGGTCGAACATCTTTGTAACAATTTAAGATAATCTTACTTAAAATTTTAGGCAGTAAAATACATTCAAAACCGACATAATTTTCGGTCAACGGTTTCAAAAAGTTGTAGGTTTTAAAAAAATATACTTAAATATCACTGCGAGACTTCCAAGTTTTGCAATTTCACCTCTGAATATTAAATGCAAGTAGATTTTATAATTATGTATAAACAAAAGAGCTTGTTAAAGGACTACTTTCAGGGAATGGTTATTTATTAATGTTAAAAGCAGTGAAGCTATTTTTCCTGCTATATGCGAGAATTTTATTCTAAAGTTTTAGAAAATATGTTGGTTTTGTTTAGCACTTTTGTTGGTTTTGTATATTTGACTTAAAATTCACGTATTATTTTCACTTAAAACGTAACTAAAAGATTTAGCTAAATGGAAATGAAAAATAACAATAGAAATTTAAATTAACAATAAAAAATTAAGACTATAAATTATAAAAACAATTATTGCTGACTTTTCTGTTCATATATACATTATTTTCTATATACTTTTCTTTCATTTAATATAAAATTAACTCGCAACAAGAAGAAACAAGAAGAGTAAATAAAGCGCGTAGTAGATGAGGATACCCAGTCATAACTGTTGGAGTTAGTTTGAATTATATTAAGTTATTTGATACTATTATTATTGAATCTGCGCAAATACGAAAGTTTTTTTTTTTTTTGAATTCATAAATCAAAAGTACACAATTTTAAAAATATAAAAAATTTAATTAACGTTTAAGTGATAAGATTAATATAATCTTCTTCTTAAAGTTCATATAGACTATCACAAGTAACTAATCATCCTGATAGAAATTTTGTCGTAATGAAAAATAAGCAAATTTAGCGATATTTAAATATTACTCGAAGCTTTAGAAATCATTAACAACATAAACAGAGTTTCTGATTACGTATCTACACAAGATCAACATCCACAGCATACAATGTGTTATTGATATTATTATGGAAACAAATTACATCACTTCACAGCAAAAGTTAATATTGTCCTTTTTATGTTAAAGTACGAGAAATCAAACGACGGTTCACTTTATAGTCGTTCACATATTTGTCATTGTCAATACACTCCTGAAGCTACTTTATAGTTGAGTTTCTTTTGTAGATATTGCAATAATATGACATTTGAATGTGAAAAAAGGGCTTTTGACTTTTAAAACCCACATATACTCGTATCACGAAATGCAGCTTAATAGTAACTTCACGTTGATCCTCTGTGAGATGGTATTAACCTAATAATTCTAACCACATGTGTATTGCATCACAGTGAGTACATCTAGATTCTAAGCACTATGGATGATAATTCACGAGTAAATATTACATATACAGTAATATGTTCTTTCAGTATTGCTAATTCATTGTTTAATTAAAATGCAATATAAATGAACATAATATTGAACATCTTCATTATTTATTCTGTAAAAATTCTAAAACACAATGTAATTTCTTGGAAAGAATAGATGTCTTAATGAGAAGTATTACTAAAGAGATAAAATCGAAGTCTTTGTCAAAAAAACATATCATTTAATTAAATTATATTCTATGACTTTGTCAGAGTTGTGTCCTTTTCATTTGGTACGAATAGTAAATTACCAGAGTCATACAAGCTAGTACGAATGTCGAGGCTAGAGGCCAAGGTGTAAGGTGATCCTGTGCCATAAGACCAGCAAAGGTCCTTCCCGTTAATCCTGCAGCTACCACCGCTATTGGTGTCATTATCAAAATGCCAAAGAAGTCAACGATCATCTGGAACGAAATCAATTTTTAAATTTTATTTCTAAGACAGCTAACTTATATTGTATAATCAAAAAAATTTCATGTGGGGTTCTTGTTTAATTTTTTAAGTTAACATTTCATCTTTTTGTGATATTTTTAGAATTAATAAAGTTTGTTAATTGGTAATTTAACAAGTAAAATTTTTATTAGAATATATCATTATTATAATTAATATAATATTATAATTAATATAATTTGTATGTATATTTTCTTTCTAAATCTTTACTTTAATACCGGATGATTTAATTTCTTTTTACACATATTTTTAAGATTTTCATATCCTCAAAATGTGTAAAAATATTTTTATTTTGTAAATTATAAATGGTAAATAATATCAAATTTATAAACACAGCAAACTATAAATTTTCGGTTAACCTGAATTTAGTTGATCATTTATTAAGTCAAAATTGAAATAAACGTTAAAGGGTTTTCGGTGAATAGTTGAAGTCAAGACAAATTAAATAAATCCTTATTATAAATGATAATCTGTGTTCTTAAAATGAATACTAGAACTATTTAATCTAAAGTTTCTGAAGTTTCTATAATATTAGTTGTCACATAATCAATATGTACCAGTCGTTTCTGAACGCAGGACAGGGATTTGAAAAGCTCACGACTTACAGTAGTACTTAGAGGTTTTGTATCCTTCTTATCGATTGAAGTTGCAAGTAAAATATAAATTTCATATCGATTTTTATAAAGGTTTATACAAACATATTGACACAAGCATATGAATAATCACTTTTATTCTGAGCTGGCCTTATATTTTATTAATTTATAGCTAAACTGTATTGAATTTTTGAAATAAAAAACAAGTTATATACATACATGTTTAGAGTTATGACTGAGAATCCACATAGCAATAGCTTTCAAGACTCCAAATTTATGAACACGGCGGGTTATGTATTTTGTTCCACATAATTCACATCGTGACTTCCCTGATTCGGTGAGCCATCGCTCCAAACATTTTATATGAACTCTTCCAATAGTTCCTCTGCAGGAACACGCTGAAATAAGATTCCCTAGTTCCGCTGAAACTCCTTCTCCACTATGACAAATACGACACATATCCTCTAAAGAATGATTGCTAAATCTTTCATCTTCTTCGGTGTTTTCACCAACATCTATAACTTCTTTTAAAACTTCAACCTGTAAACTTTGTTGACTTTGTGTTTCTATGTCAAAATTTGTTGAATTTATACCAATTGATCGCTTCTTAGGATTTTTATCAATTACTGGTGCTTTGCGTTTAGGACTTCTAACTTTTATACGGTGAAGATATTTATCTCGACGTGGAGTTCTGTCTCTGCGCATAATGTGTTCTACATTAGCTTTTTTGAGATCTTTTTCATTGTCTTCTTTATCCTTGGAGCCAACAACAGCAAGACAGTTAGGGGAGTTAAAAATGGTGAAAAGATTAATATTACTAGAACTTGCTGTTACTTCTTTATCCGATGTTAATGTCTGATTTTGAATAATTGACGTTGATGTGGCGCTTTTACATTCAGTAAGGACTTCTAAGCAGGATGACCTTTTCGATGTATTGGGTATTATTCTGTTTCGATACCTTGTTTTATGTCCTCCAAAATAGTGCTGGGGTGTATTTATATCTAAATTGAAATCTTGTTGGCTGAAACGTAATTGTAAAGTTTTGTATTATTACCTTTACATATAATATTATATTATTACAAGTTTATTTTATACAATATCATAAGTAAAACTGTATGAACTAAATAGTTTGCTATATACCAAGAAGTAAATTTTATTTATATAGATGCACATTTTATCAAACCTGATTTGGGTTTCATTTTGCAATTTTACAGTATCATGATTTATCATTTCATTTTGGACTGAAAATCGACGTCGTCTCGCACTCGGCATTTCACTATAATTTATTTTTTATTTAATGTTAATAATTTTTTTTATAATATTGACGTTAATACTTCATCGCTTCAGTTGTTATAAATTGACTTATGATATAAAAACTTTAAATAGGTCTCACATAATATTTTAATATTTACAAAATAGTTAACTAAAAAAAGGTCACATATATAAGTTTATTATGTAAAACTAATTTAAAGAATGAAAAAAATATAAGACAAGACGTATAAAATATATACTTTTTACTATTTTCGAAGTGTATTTCCTTCAATAAACTACAAATAACATAAATCGTATCATGCAATATGCAACATGCAATACCTAAAATTTTGTTTAACATTTAAGCACTGGCGAGAAAATAGTAAAATTATAATTCAAATAAAAAAAATACAACGAAAAGTTCGTCGACACGGACCAGTTCGAAGCTGTGACTTTCAGAGATTCGCGTTACCATCACTTTGCTTTTAAATCTGATGCGCTAAACCTTGTTTTTTTAATTTAAACCTCCTAAACAAGTACTAATAATAAAAATTCCACTTGGAGACTTAGATTTTGTATCATTGTAATTATTTCCTACACTAATCCTTGCTTCCGTAAAGGTGTAGGATGCAAAAAAAATTCTTTGTATTTGAATAATAAGGAAAAGAACATCACTAAAACGTACTATATATATGTTTATTGTTAATTTGGAGATAATTACATTGAAATCTTATTACTTCAGTCAAAGCGATTACAATGTCTTTCAAAACGCGTTTCCAAACATTGTTATAGTCAAAGGAAAATTTTAGGTCACTTGAATTTAATTACATATAAACTAAATTATTTTTTTTAAGAATGTTAGTACAATTTTTATTGCAGTGATCGAAAGTTAAAAAATAAATAAAAAGAGTTTAGATTGAAGCTGTTACAAATTGGAAAGTTTAAGCCTTAATGTTTTGTTACTAAAAAGTCTACTCCGTTGATTAAAATTTGTCTAATATTCCAATTACCTAGCTTAGAAGCCTTTAAAGCTATTTGTGACCATTCGGCCATCGTACCAACGCACAACTTAGTACATATAAGTCAGTTTGAACGACAAGCCCGACGACGGCGGTCCACCGATTACACTGTAACGGAAGTTCAAATGAAAATATCGAAACGTAGTTACATGTTAGAATAAAAAATATTTCTTAAATATAATAAGTGTTTGAAAAGTTTCTAAAGTGCTGTGTAAAAATGTGAATATATAGGATTTCAAAGGTTAGTATTATCAAATAGTGTGATGTTTTTGTAAGATAATATTATAAAATAAGTAGGTTTAGTGCATGCAACCGTTTGTTTTTCTTATTTTAGGTCGTTTTAATAAAAAAAAGTGAGAACAAAACATTTTTAAATAATTAATAAGAACAAAAAACTTTGTCTTAATTGATGTTTTAAGACAAATTATGAAAGGGGTGGTGTGATTTCTACATTTAAAAATCCAATATATTTATATACCGTCTATTTCATTTGGCTTCAACGCGATCAAATTTATAAAAATTATTTATGTTCATTTCAAAAAAACTGAAATTTAATTGAAATTAAATGCAATATCAAGAAAGATAGCAACAGGTTTTATTATTTTTGTCATACATAATGTTATTTGTATATATAATCACAATACATACTCATACAGATTGATTTGTGTAAGTTGAAACAAAAACTTAATCTGTGTTATAGAAGAATTTTCCAAAAACGAAAATTGGATTCCTTAAATAACTTGTCGCACATTTTTACATCTTCCTACAATTCAATAATTAATTGTTTTTCATTATTCAACTCAATTATTAGCGGTTTCAAAATGTATTAGTTTAAAAAATAAGGTAATATGCACCACATGCGATGTCAGGTTTTTTAAATTTGATAAGAAATGTTGCCAATTAGGTTTCATAGTACCAAATCGTTTATCTATAATTTATGAAAAAAACAGTGTTATGGGTTTTGTTGCATGTATTGTTACTGACTTTTATATTGGGATTTTCAAGAAACTTGAATTGAATAAACAGTACGTCAATCTATGAAGAGGATAGATTTTTATTTTTATCAGTGTTCATCCGACAAACCCATTCTAAATATTTTCGATAAGATATTTATAATAAAATTCTCAGTGTCTTTCTAAATATAATAATAATAAAATAATAACTTTATAATTTTGATTTTAGGTGATATATTATATGTAAATATATTTTATATTATGAAAGTCTGGTTTTATATCCGGCACTCAAAAGTAAATTATATAAAGATATTTCTAACTATAATTTTATTAATGCAAAAATGACCTTTCATTTTTGTTACTGATAATTTAATTGTTGATAAAATAATGGCTTACATATGAATATTACATGTGTTTATAATATTTTGGCGAAAAATTTATGAGAAAAAATAAAAACGAATTAATTAATTACTAGAAATCCGATCCTCTTGCACAAATATATTTTTTTAATAAAAATATGTAGGAGGTGTAGGTAGAAAATGTTATTTATATTTGAAAATAACCCTAATACTATTATTTTACTGTTGATCCTAAAGCGTTTTAAGTTTCTTTATTCTAAAAACATAAACATCATACATATGACAAATCTAAGAAATATTAGTGTTACTTTTTTTAATAAACAATTTATAATAATTAAAAAAAACTTATTATAAATCATTACTTTAATAAAACATAACTTAAGCTTGTAATGACGCGTTATAAATGTTACTAACTTTCTTTTTCTCTAATTAGAATACGTAATAAATAAACTTTTCTATTTTAATTAAAGTCAATCAACACGTTTATAATTATTAAAAATTTCTTATTCATTTCTTAGAATTGCCAAAAATAAAACTTATAATTCCTTTGTCATTTTATTATAAAAATGCTATTGGAATTTATTAAATTCAGTGTAACAGTATAGTAATTTGCTTTGTAATTTATTTATTTTTCTAGTACTACATTCGCTTAATACCTTGTGAAAAACTTATTTTATTTTTAATTGTTCTTCGTCGTAAAATAAAATGACAGAATTAATTGATATTATAAAAGAAGCATATAATAAATAATTATATATTTGTGAATAGCTACAGATTTATGTGAAACAAATATATTCAGAATAAAATATCGATTTTAATACCATAAATGAGATTTAAGATTCTCGCGAGTATTCATTGAAATATAACTTTTATATATATGTACACACACACACACATATACATATATATATATATATATATATATATATATATATATATATATATATATATATATATATATGTATGTTTATATATATATATAAGTTTTATTTCAATTTAATACCAATAACTTAAATTTATATTTTTCAAATTGTGTTATAACTTTTTATACTTTTGGCGAATTTGTTTCTGTTATGCCTTAAAAGAATTTTAACTTCAAGTTTTTTTAATTTTCTGCTTCCTTAGAAAGAGACATAATTATTGATTTTCTGTAACAAATTGAACTAACCACATCCGGCGGTACACCTCAGCAGTGTCTCGTCTGTTTTTCATTAAACAGACCTCATTTTACAAATTAGCATCAGCAATTTTATGTCTTAATAAAAAGTTTTTATAAACGAAAATACATTACAATTCGTTACAAAACTACGCGCCAAACCCGCCTTTTACTTGATAAGTGAAACCAAGCTATAACTTCACAGGACTACCACTCTTTCTAGTTTTGCATTAAAAGGCTTTCTATTGTAACTGAAAGCGTTTCTAAGAAAATTAAAAGTTGTAAAGATTGACAGAAGGTATATTGCTATTTTAATATTGTTTTAGAAAACAAAAATATTTATATAAAAATCTTGTTAATATAAATTTATAAGTAAAATATGATGTTCTTGAAAATATATTTTATATTAAAAAGACATTCTCTACTGGACTTCAATGGCTGACTTATATTTGTTGAATTTTTAGCTACACGCATTAGATAACTACACTTATAATTAAAAAGATAATAATGGGCAATATAAATCCTATTTTGACAACTTATTTCCTTCGACTTTGAAGACTTTGTTTTGATTATTACATTTTGATTGACTATAATTTTCCATGAAATATCATTTCCGAAACAGAGAAATATAGTTGTGATATTTGATATTAAAATATAATATAATATGGTCAATTAATAGAAGGAGTTTTTAATTTTAAAAAAGACATAAATACATACTACATTTATTATAATTTAGCGTATTATTAAATAAAGTTTTGTTTTGATTTACTCATAAATAATACAAATTTGTACTTATTCAAGCGTTTATATGTATTATGGCTGAAGGCCTGGTTTGTTTTAAATTGTGGTGAATATTTAGATAATATTTAAAATAAGATTAGACAGTTTAATAATTTGTTATCAAACACCACGTGTCTGTAAATTTAATAAATCTTAAAAAGCGAGATTGGTCAGTAATACTGAAACAATAGAACGGTTATATGATACCTTAAAAAGAACAAACAATTAATTTAATTCATATACTAATTTGTTTTACAGACACTATTACCTAATACGAGTATCATAGGAAATATCATAGGTTATTTGAAAAGTGATATAGATATATGTATAATAAGCACAATAAAAGAACATGAGATCTAATGTCAGCGTTATTTAGCAGTTTCGATTAGCTCTTAAGAAATTAATAATATTGGGAGAAAATCATTGTGCTACAATTGAAGGTGATTCCCTTAATACATGTCTGTCTTACAACTAACAACTTTAATATAATAAAATCCAGTTCAACTTCAATCCGAAAACATTTTGTTACTATAGGATCCTAAAAAGAAAGAAACTAGAATCTTCGTGTGTTTTTATGATAGTGTAAGAAATTAATGCTCACATTTCAAACGAGACTTTGACTTGGATATTGGTTCATATTTTAATAAACTCAAAGGATTTTTTTACATATTTACTTAAAACAGATTAGTGTTATTTTGGAGACAGCTGTTGGAAACATTGTTTATTTCGTACATAATTTTAATTGCTGATTTTA